CGCCAAAGATTTTCACGGGGCCGTACATGTTACCCGCGGGCAGGAGAAAGATGAATTCAAATTTCCTGGGTCGCGTGCGAGTAGAGGACATCCCCACAAAATTTCAGCCCTTTAGCTTTCGTGGTTTTCATGATAATAGTTTTATCCGCCCAAACTTTTACGAGGCCTTACGTGTTACCCGCGGGTATGGGGAAGCTGAATTCAAATTTGCAGGGTCAGAAGTGGGTGGGAAATGTTCCCCTAAATTTTCAGCTTCCTAGCTTTTGTGGCTCCCGAGCTGAAAGTTGCGGACAAGTTGCTGCGGACACACACACAATTACACACGCAGACAACCCCGTGAAAGTATGCGTTTTGTGCTGCTGTTACACTGCACAAAACGCATAAAAAGAAATTGTTAGGGTATCTTCGGGATTTGTAGTCGGAATTTAGCCGAGATTTGAGGCGTCATCATAGTTTGATGTCTTGCATGCATCTGGAAAACAAAATTATTCGGAATGGTGTCTAATAAAGCAACGAATTAATTTTTCGAATTGTTAATTTTTGCTCCAGTAAGCTGCAGCCGGTGCAGTTAGTCTTGTTATGGGAGCATCGAATAGTCAGGCAGTTCTGAGGCATCATAGGCACCCATTCCATAACCACAAGTACCCGCTGCATTGCGTCGGCGGAGGAGATTTTGAGAAGGATGGAAAACAGCCGAAGATTGCTAGTAGGGAGAAGTAAGATAAAAATTTCGTATTGTCTGAAACAGCGCGCATCGAACACCTGGAGCTGCTATTAATTACTGCTGCAGTTTCTCATGTATGCATTTGGTTTTTCACCCGCTTTGACCAGTCCTGCACAACTTGCTGATCAATATGCTATCGATCTTGCCGTTCATTTTTCTCCTGGAGAAGTTACCAGCTCAACGATTCCACTGAAAATGATTCTTGGCAAGGCTGTAGTCGTTCTAGAATGTACTGGGATGTGTGCCGAGCTTCATTGCCTCACCTCGAACTTTGTTACTCC